TTATTTTAAATATTTTTTCAAGTTTTTAAATAAATTTATTTATTACGAAAAACAATAATTTTGCCTTTAATTTACTATGTTATTGGGATAATGTCTGAAATATATTAACTTTATGTTTATTAATTTAACTTAATTGCTTAATATATATCTTTTAATACTATTTTTGACGCCCCTTTATATTGAATTTAATTATTAATAATAATATTGGGCCGTCACAATATGCAGAAGAAACAGCGTTGGCGATAGCACGCAGCCCTGTGGAACACCAGCATTAATAAACTTGCAATCGGAGCTTGCACCGTCTACAACGACCTTGATGCTCCGATCCGCAAGAAAACTGGTGATCCAATCGCACAATTTCTCGGGAAGCCCATAGGAAGGGAGCTTCGAAAGAAGCGCTTTGTGCTAAACCCGATCGAAGGCCTTCGCAATGTCCAAACTAACGGCCAATGCCTCCCCCTTGGACTCTACTGCCTCCGCCCATCTGTGAGTTAGGTAGACCAGAAGATCACCAGCTGACCTACCACGGCGAAAACCGTATTGGCGGTCACTAATCAGCTGGTGATCCTCAAGGTACCTCATGAGCTGGCAGTTTACAATGGACTCCATTGTTTTGGAGAACAAGGAGGTGATGGCGATAGGCCGGTAGTTGGACGGGTCTGAGCGGTCGCCTTTTTTAGGGATCGGGTGGACGAAAGCCGTCTTCCATGATTTTGGGACTACGCCTAGGGAGTAGGAGTACCGGAAAAGACGCGTTAAAACCGGTGCCAACTCTGGAGCACACGTCCTCAGCACAATTGGGGGGGATTCCATCAGGCCCACTCGACTTATGGATGTCCAGGGAGAGGAGTGCTTTGCGAACCGAGCGCTGAGTGAACTGCACTTCCGGCATGGAGCACTCACACCGCGGGATGATCGGCGGCGTACTCCCCCCGTCATCGAGAGTCGAGTTAGACGCAAAGAAAGAGCCTAGAAGATCGGCTTTCTCCTTTGCGGTGTGGGCCAGTGAGTCGTCCTCCCTGTGCAGAGATGGAAGAGATGGCTGACAGAAATTCCCCTGGACAGCCTTGGCGAGAGACCAGAATGCACGGGTTCCAGAAGGAAGACGAACTAGTCTCTCGCCAATTCTGCCTATGTGCTCTGACTTTGCCTTGGCAATGACTCTTTTGAAGGACCTAGAGGCGGAATTATACTTCTTTTTTAGAGCGCTGGTGTTTACATCCCTGGACGCTGATGCGTCAGCCCAGGCTCGGTAGCACTCCTGCTTATAGCATGATGCTATTTTACAGGAGCGACCAAACCATGGCTGAGATTTGCCTCCAATGGGCACCACAGAGGAAGGAATAAAAAGTTCCATACCCTGAAGTACCACATCAGCGACAGAATCCGCAACAACGTTGGGATCATCCGGCGAGAAGCAAACTCGCCCCCAAGGGTAGGATGCAAAGAAAGACCGCATCCCATCCCAATCGGCTGACCTATAGTGCCAAACACGGCGGCAGCCTGCAGAATGCAACCGCGATTTCAGCGTGAGTGGCACCACACTCCGGACAAGACAATGGTCCGAGGAGCCTAAAGGGGCGTCGACGGAAATCTGATATCCGTCCGGGTGAGAGGTCAGCAGAAGGTCCAACAGGGAAGGTGCATGATCCTCCACATCTGGAATCCGCGTAGGCGAAGTAACCAGTTGTGTCAGACCATATGCCAAGGCAAAATCATGAACAGATCTCCCCGCATGATCGGTTAAACGTGAACCGAGCCATTCGGCGTGATGGGCGTTAAAGTCGCCGAGGATCACGATCTCTGCGGAGGGGATCTGCTGTAGCAACGAATCTGCAGCCATTTGGACGTGGTCGAAGAGTCGGTCTGTTTCGGCATTACCGCTATGGGACCTATAGAGGCACCCGTAGACGCGCGGATGGTCGTCGCTGTCTACGCGTAGCCAAAGGATGGACAGGTCCGAACCTACAAGTCTGCCGAGGCGTCGAGAACAGATGTCCTCTCTGACGTAAACGCAAACTCCAGCCCGAGGCACAAAGGAGTGTTCCAGTTTGTACCCCGGGCAGGAGAGATACGAGACATCAGCCGGAGAGGACACCTGCGTCTCGGTCAGAAAGAGCAGAGCCGGCCTCGCCGTCTCGAGATGGTAGTGGACGGCGTTTAGGTTAGAGTGAAGTCCCCTGATATTGCAGAAATTCACGGACAGCGTGGCAGGGGTCGCCTTGGTCTTGTTGCTCCGTTTGCCCCGAGCAGTTTTAGTCTTGAGCGGAATATTGCCCCCCCCCCCCCCAGAATACGCAGGGCAGCCTGAGCACCCACGCTCAGAAGTGGAGAAACATGGTCGTGGATGCTCAGCGAGGGATTCTCCAGGGGTGCTGGTACCCTCCTGGGGTAGTCTATCATTTAATTCCGCTACCATGTTGATGGGGGGGGGGAATTGGGCCTCCGGCCACCTGCACTCACCAGACGAAACGCGGAAGCAGAGCTTCCACTTCACGCCGGTATTCTGTGAGGTCGTGGTACCACCCCGGTTTGAGCCGGCCCATACGTGCGACAGCAAAGCTGCCGCGTGGCTCTACCACTGATAAAACCTACTTGTTAAATCCTTTCTTCTCTCTTATATGTTTTTGTATTTTAAATGTATTTATTTATTATGTATGTATTTATCGATTATATAATTATATTTATGTCGTGTGTTATTTTCAACAACTTACGTAAACCCTTACCCTTTCTCACAGGTCACTTTATCCTCTGCAATGGTTGCCTGCTAGAGATCCCTTCTAAACGATAAGGCCGCTAATTGTACCTTTAAATAATTTATGTTTTTTTTTCTTATATCTATTTCTGGCGTCCAATAAAGAATATTTCATTCATACAGTCACTCATTCGTTCACTCCACGGAGTTTTCCGGGCGCACTGTAATCCGCTGGCTTCAGTTCGTTTTAATTGCTGGTAAGTACTTTCTTAGTACCTACTTACATTATTTCTATGCTGTTTAGATTTTTTATTATTTTATATAGTGTACTTAGAGAATTTCTTTTGACAGAGGATGGAGACTGTGATGATGTCACCTTCCTTATGATTGACTCAGAAGGTGGGTAAAGGATCTCAGTGATACTACGTAGAACCATAGTGTTAGAACTCATTTTCAAAAAAGTTCATGAAGATCTAGATGACTGTGATGATATCACCTAGCTAATGGTGGACTCCGAAGGTGGATTTAGGATCTCGAGCCTGATGGCGGACTCAATATCTGGGTAAAAGATCTTCAGTTAAGCAACTACGTAGAACCATCGTTTTTAGACTCATTTAAATACCAAGGTGCCTGTGATGATCTCACTTACCTGATGATGATGGACTCCGAAGATGGGTATAGGATCACAGTAACGGCACTAGATAAAACGATCGTGTTTGAACTCATTTGAAAGGGCTCATAAAGTCCTAAGGATTTTGGCATTTATTAGCCTTGCCCCGACTTTTAATAATTTTTATCGCCCAAATTGGGTTAGGGGTTTTAATGGACCATGAGTAGTATTTTCTTTCAACTTCAATTTATGAATTTATTACTTAAAATTTTAATTTTAACAAATCCTTTTCCTAGTAGTCTTCAAATCTTGTTTCAGTTGAAAAGCGGTTAAGTGATTTTTTTATGTTTCGGTGGATTTATTTTCCTTAATTCCAAAAACCACCTACAATGTGCTACAACTCTAACAAGTTTGGTATGTGCTGACCAATTCTGCAAAATAAATTTATTTTCTTTCCTCATCTCATCTTTCTAACAACAAAATCTGTATTCCTGTTCACTTCACCGAGTTCTATGGTAACTCCTTCACAGTTCAAGCTACACGTCTTTGGAACTTCTTGCCCGATGACATCAGAAAAGCTCCCAATAAGCACGCTTTTAAAAAGTTAGTCCGTGAACATCTATTAAAGACAACGCATTTTACATGACTTATCCATCTAATATGTATTGCTAAACTGACGTTTATATTCATAGTCATTTGTATGTAGATACTAATTACGTACGTATTGAAATATGTATATTTATATGTATATGCGTGTGTTTATATATTTGTATATATGGATAGATCATACAGGGTGTCCAGTAAATAACACGACATACTGCAGGGGGTGATAGCTAGGGTCACAACCTATCAATACAACACAATATATGTTCAGCAAAATCTTACGGATTTACAATTTCACAAAATTTTCCAAAATACCGAAAAATCTCTACCTTGAAACAGATTTTTAAGCATCTCGTAATGAAAAAATCCTTTTCTAGTACTTTTTTTTACATCAAATTATTCGTGAATAGTTACTTTATTCATTGATAAGTCTTTTTTCTATCAAAGACAAGAATGTTTTCAAGAAATACTATTTTTTGTTTAAATTTGCACAGAACTATTTTCTTATCACTTAAGTTTAACCTACAGTGGTGAAAAAAAATGTATGTGGCAGTTTTGTACAACAAACTTAAAAAATAGCTTGTTTAATGGTGATTTAGGAAAGATACAACACTATTGCATTTTCATTAAAAAAAATACAAAAAAATGCTATTTTAGTTCCAGAGAAGCTGATTTTGTTGAAAATATAATTAACGTAATTTTGACAGAAACCACTATGAGAATAAGTAATAGCTGCTCATTTACGCGTATTATAAAACTAGTTGTGACACGTAAAATGCGACATGCACGCGTAATGACTAAAGGTTTTTACCTGCTCGCCGACCGACCCGACCCGACCGGTTACTGTCTAACAAAAGAAGCGCATGTGCTATCCCGCTCTTTCTTGCATTGTGATTTTGTGTCTCACTCTCAACCTTATTTGTGACACTTGTCAGACCGTGTGCAATGCATCTCTGTGTTCACAAATTATTGTTTCGTACTGACGACTGTTTTGTGCCTTGGACCCCGGACTTTGTTTGCCTTACGATTTGGATTTTTTATTGTGATCACTACGACGACTTGGCGACCACCTGGACTTTTGTGTTTTATAACATGGCCAACCGCCGCGTTTTTCCTGGTTATACGCAGCGAGAGTACGCTGCACCGTACGAGCTCGTATTTACGGAGAAGCTGGCCAAAGTTCCCGAGCTGCTGCCACCCTCTACAGGGAAAGGTTTCCCGATAGGAGACATCCACACCATGAAATGTTTACCAGAGTGCATAACTCCTACATGGAAGGCAGACTCCCTGGTCAACGTGGCGGTGGACGGCCTCAAGTTGTTGACGAAGACATAGTGCTTCAGGAACGAGAACAAGACCCGACAACTTCGGTTAGGGCGATACAACGGCGCACAGGGATACCGAAGTCTACTGTTCATTCAGTACTTAAAAGGTATGGATACCATCCATTTCACGTACGACGCGTGCAAACTCTTTTAACAAGAGACTACCTGCCGAGAGTTCAATTCTGCCGCCGCATGCTTGAAATGCATCGGGAGGACCCAAACTTTTTTAATAAGGTGTTATGGAGTGATGAGTCAGCCTGCAGAAAGGACGGCTACTTGAATTTGCATAATTTACATAGTTGGCAATTAGAAAATCCGTATGTGTCAAGAGAAGACAGGTCCCAGTACAGTAGATTTTTTCGTTACGAGATGCTTAAAAATCTGTTTCAAGGTAGAGATTTTTCGGTATTTTGGAAAATTTTGTGAAATTGTAAATCCGTAATTGATTTTGCTGAACATATATTGTGTTGTATTGTATACTACGTCACCCCCTGCAGTATGTCGTGCTATTTACTGGACACCCTGTATATGTATAGTTTATTTAGTAGTATGTTTATATTGTGTAGTTAATTATCATTTGTTTTGTGTTCTTTTATTCTATATTGCCCACTGACCTCTATATATCCATTACGCTGGACTGGCTATACCATACAAAATGTCTGTGCCAATTTGAAGCACCCCTAACGGTCGTCTTGAAAACTAAAATCGACATAATATGCCAAAGTCTGTGTTTTGAACTTTTAAACTAAAAAACGAAAGTATTTTATGTTGTTTGATTGTGTTACATAATAAGAATTAACAAGTAAAAAAGTGCTCGTTTTTTCCTGGCTCCATTCACATATCGGGCTCGGGGAGTCCGTAGTGCAGGTGGAGTCAGAGACCGCGAAGGGCAGTGTACTGAGAAGAAAAACGGGCGGGAGAAGTCAGCAACTAAGGAGGGGCTGCCATTGGGCGGCTGGTACCGGAAGGGCCGCGTATGTGGACGAAAGCGTTTCCGTGGCCCTGTCAATTTGCGGCGGAGGTAGAACACCACGGGGTTTTAGTAAGTGCGAGTCTAGAGATTTAATTCTCTCTCGAGTCTCAAGATTTAATTTGTGCTTTAACTTCGTAGTGGCCCTACTTTAGTTTATTTCTTATTTACAAATTCTGGCCATCGTTTACATTCACGGTTTTTAGCAGCTTCCTCTTACGCAACATCCACCGACAAAGACAATTAAGTGTTCGATCAAGAACCCGTGGATTGCGATGCCCCCTAGAATACGTGGCACTGCCGAAGCTGGAAAGCTTAGGAATGAGGATATCGGCAGTAGAACCAGAGCGACCGACATCGCCCAATGGATTAGTAAGCTGAAGTGGCAGTTGACTGGCCATATACCTCGAAGAACCGATAACCGATGGGGAAAAAAGATCCTCGAGTGGCAGGTGAAGTGTCGGAAGTTCCTCCACTAGATGGAGTGAAAACCTGGTAAGACATACAGGAATTTGATGGATGCAGGTGGCTCAGGACCGTGTTTTGTGGCATTCCTTGGGGGAGGCCTATGTTCAGCAGTGGACTTGTGAAGGGCTTTAATGATGATGAATGATAGTGGCATTATATTAATAGGATTTATAAATAGAATGGACGTTACGGGTAGAGCCCATCTATCCATAGAGTCCATTTTATTTATTTAGGTATAGGTAGGGTATAGAATTTTTATCGATACATTTTGTCACACTGTCATCCCTATTATTAGTTCCGTGAACGTGCATTTCTGCTGACAGCGCCAAAATGGCGCAAATCAAATTGCCTTATCATGTCACGGTGTATAGCTAGTCCAGCGTACTTGTATATATAGAGGTCAGTGATATTGCCACACCTACTTCAAATTCTCACCACCCCTTGATTTGACTGGTAGAAAACGCCTCAGGGCATTGAGTCCGCCCTTTGTATTCTTTAGTTTAAAGATGCAATAAATAATTAAATAAATAAATATATTTGCTCTAATGAAGTCGATAAATTTTTTGGTTTTTCAGGTAGTCATTCACATTCACATTTTATACGCGGTAGAGCCACGCTGCAGGTATATTATGGTTGTAGCACGAATGGGTCGGCTCGACCAGGGAAGGACCACGCTCTCACAGAACCACGCACTCAAGAAGACTTTACGGATGGTGTTACGAAACTGCTATGTTTCGTATGGCAAGTGTAGAGTACCGGAGACCAGTTTTACTGGAATCGAGGCATTCCATCTTAGTCCTCAGGGGTGACGCATCTGCATTTTGATTCTTAATCGAGGTTAAGTATCTATGGGTCAGAGTATCCACTTACCACTAGATGGACTGTGTGCTCGTTTGTCACCCTTATTCTATAAAAAAATGTGGTAGAGCCACGCGGCAGCTTTGCTGTTGCACGTATGGGCCGGCTTAAACCAGGGTGGTTTCACGACCTCACAGAATACCGGCGTGAAGTGGAAGCTCTGCTTCCGCGTTTCGTCTAGTGAGTGCAGGTGGCCGGAGGCCCAAATCCCCCCCCCCACCATCATGGTAGCGGAATTAAATGATGATAGACTACCCCGGGAGGGTACCAGCAGCCCAGGAGAATCCCTCGCTGAGCATCCACGACCATGTTTCTCCATTTCTGAGCGTGGGTGCTCAGACTGCTCCGCGTATTCTGGGGGGGGGGCAAAATTCCGCTCAAGACTACAACTGCTCGGGGCAAACGGAGCAATAAGACCAAGGCGACCCCTGCCACGCTGTCCGTGAATTTCTGCAATATCAGGGGACTTCACTCTAACCTAAACGCCGTCTACTACCATCTCGAGACGGCGAGGCCGGCTCTGCTCTTTCTGACCGAGACGCAGGTGTCCTCTCCGGCTGATGTCTCGTATCTCTCCTACCCGGGGTACAAACTGGAACACTCCTTTGAGCCTCGGGCTGGAGTTTGCGTTTACGTCAGAGAGGACATCTGTTCTCGACGCCTCGGCAGACTTGAAGGTTCGAACCTGTCCATCCTTTGGCTACGCGTACACAGCGACGACCATCCGCGCGTCTACGGGTGCCTCTATAGGTCCCATAGCGGTAATGCCGAAAAAGACCGACTCTTCGACCACGTCCAAATGGCTACAGATTCGTTGCTACAGCAGATCCCCTCCGCAGAGATCGTGATCCTCGGAAACTTTAACGCCCATCACGCCGAATGGCTTGGTTCACGTTTAACCGATCATGCGGGGATATCTGTTCATGATTTTGCCTTGGCATATGGGCTGACACAACTGGTTACTTCGCCTACGCGGATTCCAGACGTGGAGGATCATTCACCTTCCCTGTTGGACCTTCTGCTGACCTCTCACCCGGACGGATATCAGATTTCCGTCGACGCCCCTTTAGGCTCCTCGGACCATTGTCTTGTTCGGAGTGTGGTGCCACTCACGCTGAAATCGCAGTTGCATTCTGCAGGCTGCCACCGTGTTTGGCACTATAGGTCAGATGATTGGGATGGGATTCGGTCTTTCTTAGCATCCTACCCTTGGGGGCGAGTTTGCTTCTCGCTGGACGATCCCAACGTTGTTGCGGATTCTGTCACTGATGTGGTACTACAGGGTATGCAACTTTTTATTCCCTCCTCTGTGATGCCCATTGGAGGCAAATCTCAACCATGGTTTGGTCGCTCCTGTAAAATAGCATCGTGCTATGAGCAGGAGTGCTACCAAGCCTGGGCTGACGCATCAGCGTCCCGGGATGTAAATACCAGCGCTCTAAAAAGGAAGTATAATTCCGCCTCTAGGTCTTTCGAAAGAGTCGTTGCCAAGGCAAAGTGAGAGCACATAGGCAGAATTGGCGAGAAACTAGTTCGCCTTCCTTCTGGAACCCGTGCATTCTGGTTTCTCGCCAAGGCTGTCCAGGGGAATTTCTGTCACCCACCTTTTCCATCTCTGCACAGGGAGGAAGGCTCACTGGCCCATACCGCAAAGGAGAAAGCCGATCTTCTAGGCTCTCTCTTTGCGTCCAACTCGACTCTCGATGACGGGAGGAGTACGCCGCCGATCATCCCGCGGTGTGAGTGCTCCATACCGGAAGTGCAGTTCACACAGCGCTCGGTTCGCAAAGCACTCCTCTCCCTGGACATCCACAAGTCGAGTGGACCCGACGGAATCCCCGCAATTGTGCTGAGGACGTGTGCTCCAGAGTTGGCACCGGTTTTAACGCGTCTTTTCCGGTACTCCTACTCCCTAGGCGTAGTCCCTAAATCATGGAAGGCGGCTTTCGTCCACCCGATCCCTAAAAAAGGCGACCGCTCAGACCCGTCCAACTACCGGCCTATCGCCATCACCTCCTTGTTCTCCAAAACAATGAAGTCCATTGTAAACTGCCAGCTCATGGGGTACCTTGAGGATCACCAGCTGATTAGTGACCGTCAATACGGTTTTCGCTGTAGTCGGGCAGCTGGTGATCTTCTGGTCTACCTAACTCACAGATGGGCGGAGGCAGTAGAGTCCAAGGGGGAGGTATTGGCCGTTAGTTTGGACATTGCGAAGGCCTTCGATCGGGTTTGGCACAAAGCGCTTCTTTCGAAGCTCCCTTCCTATGGGCTTCCCGAGAAATTGTGCGATTGGATCACCAGCTTTCTTGCAAATCGGGGCATCAAGGTCGTTGTAGACGGCATCAAGGCCGTTGCAAGCTCCGATTGCATATCAATGATATGTTGCAAATCCTTAATATTCATTGCTATGCAGGTGACAGCACTGGTGATGCTCTTTACACCGGCCGAGCCAATATTTCTCGGGAAAACGTCTCCGAGTGCCGGGACAAACTTGTGTCTGAAGTCGAGTCTTTGCTGAACAGAGTATCGGATTGGGGGCGACAAAATCTAGTTCAGTTTAACCCCCAGAAGACACAAGTTTGCGCGTTAACCGCTAAAAAGAACCCCTTTGTCGTATCTCCTCAGTTTCAAGGCACTCCCCCTTGTTGCCTCAGCCAGTATCGGAATCCTCGGCGTCGACATATCGAGTGACGTGCAGTTTCGTGGTCACT